GCCAAATGTGTCACTCCAGAGTTGCTTTGACATTGGTTTGTTGTTTTGGTGCTGATTAGTCAGTCTGTATCTTTTGATTGGAGAAAAAGGCCATTGATATTTAAAGTTATTATCGAAATATGTGTGTGAATTGTGGTCATTGTGTTGTTGATTTTTGATGATGTTTATGTTCTCAGTGGCACTTTTTATTTTTTTTTAATCATTATAGCTTCACTTTTCTTTCCACAGTATCACTGCAGAGCACATTTCTCCCTTTAGCTGAAAACATTGCTTCCTATTTTCTTTAGGTTTGGTTTGTTGGAGATATATTATATATATACTATTTATATCATGGGAAGTTTTTCTTTTCTCCCCGCTTATGTGAATAGTTTACTGAGCATATTAATCTATGATGGCTGTCCTAGTCTTTTAATACTTGGAATCTATTACTGCAGACTTTCTGGCTTTCATAATTTCCATGAAGAAATAAGCTGTTATTTCTGATGGGTTTTTCTTTATATGTGGTTTTTGTTTTTCTTTTACAGCTTTCAACACATGTTATGTATACTTAGTGTTTTAGTTATGATAAGACGTGGGAATTTTTATTCTACTTGGTGTTCTGTGTGCTTTTATTTGTATGTTTCTCTTAGTTTGGGGAAATTTACTTCTATGACCTTGAGGGAGATCTGGTTTATGTCTTTGACTTAGGATTCTTCTCTGTTTTCTGTGCCTTTAAATTCAAAGGAATGGTTTTTTTCCATACTATCCCACATTTTTTGTGTTTTGTTCACTTTTTATTTTTTCACACTCTTTATTTGACCTAGATTCTCTCACTTTAAATTCAAGTCCTGAAATTCTATCTCCTGCCTCATCTATTATACTTGTAAGGCTTTTCTTTGAGTTTTTTAGTTGGACTGTTGTGTTTTTCAACTACATCTTTTTTTTTTTAAAAAAAAATAAACTATTTAGTTTTATGTATGAGTGCCTTGCATGTAGACCTACATGCCAGAAGAGAACAACTACATCTTTATTTCAGCTTGAGTTCTTTTCTATGTTTCTGTCTCTTTATTAAATTCCATTATTAAGTCTTGTATTTGTTAGAAACATTCCATAACTAAGCCTCTCTGCTGGTGCAGAACTACAATCAAATCAGATTAGACTGAATCAAAAATGCCCACGTTTAATGAATGCCACGCTCTCGGGTGGCTGGGAGCATGGCAGGGGGAAGACAGAGGGAGAGCATACACAAAACCCGAAAGAAAGCACAGAAGCACATGTTCCTTTTTCTGGCTCCAGACTAAATACCCACTGTGAGTGCTCCTGATCCTTCCCAAGGAGGGCTCAACTTTGGCAGGTTGGGAGTTTGAGTACAAGCTCTTGGCAGGCTGGAATTGAAGTCGGGACGAGGGCACTTCCCAGGCCAGGGGCTGGGGTGACACTTTCAACTCAATATTACATTCCAGATTCTTTGGATTTAGGGCTGTTAGAGGGCTGGGGTCTCACTTTTGACCAAGCAGTACTGTCTTCATTATTTATGTCAACCTTGTTTGTGTTTTTTTGGGCATCATCCAGGCATTTGTTTTTCTTAAATTCATTCTTCTTAATTTAACTTAACTCTTTCTTTTTGTCTTTAAACTCCTTGAATTCCTTGATGAAGTTTGATTGTTCTTTTAAATTATGTGTCCTAGGGTTCATTTTTTGTAATTATTATTGGCCGATCTTTTTTGGGGGGGGGGGTTGTTTCTTTTATTTTTTTCAAGACCAGTAGATTTTTGGAGGGAAGGTACTGACTTGATCCTTTTTATATTGTTGAAATTTTTACAATGAAATTTGGGCATGTGGACTCCTTTGTTCAAAGTCTGATATGAACAGAGAATTGGCAAAATATATTATGTGTGAGCTGGGGATGTTGTCTGTGGACTTGTTGGAAATCACTTTCATTATGTTGCTGTATGTCCCCTGTATCCTTCATCTCTCCTGGTCTTTTATCATGAAAGGATATTGGATAATGAGATGACCATGTAGTTTTTGTGAATTCTGTTTAGTGTTTCATTTATCAATTTACGTAAGTTGAACCATTTGTGCATTTCTAAGATTAGGTCTACTTGCTCATGGTAGATAATCTTTGTGATGTATTTTTTATTCAGTTTGCAAGTATTTTGAGCATTTTTGCATTTCTGTTCATAAGGGAAAATAGACAGTAACTTACTTCCTTTGTTGTGTAATTGTGACCTCATAAGAAGAAATATGTCATGATCCTTCAGTTTCTATTTTGTGGAATAATTTGAGGAGCACTGACACTTATTTTTCTTTTGAAAATTGAGTAGAATTCTATACTAAATCCATCTGACCCTGTGATGTTTTTGGTTGGGAAATATTTAATTACTGCTTCTATTACTCTAGGGTTATAGGGTTATAGATTTATTTAAATTACTCATCTGATCTTTATTTAACTCTGGTAAGTGATATGTATCAAGGAAATTATCCATTATTTTAAATTTTCTATATGCAAGGGGTATAGACTTTTAAAGTATGTCATTGTGATTCTCTGGATTTCCTTGGTGTCTAATATCATTACTGTCTTGTCTCTAACATTATTAATTTAGATCATCTTTCCCTTTTACTTTGGTTTGTTAAGGGTTGATCAAGCTTAATGATTTTTCTCAAAGAATCAATTTGTGTGTGTGTGTGTGTGTGTGTGTGTGTGTGTGTGTGTGTGTGTGTGTGCAGTATGCTGCGAGTTGATTAATGGCAGCAACATAAACCTGCTGCATCCCTGGATCTGGGGCAGTGAACTTGGCTTGCAGAGCTGGTAGTAAATGAACCTCTGCCATATTGAAAGCCCAAGAGAGGTGGAGCCCGCATCCAGGGTTGCTGTGACCACACTGCTTACTAAAATATTTCTTGTTGGAAAGGGATTTCAATTACACAGTAGGACAAATTCAGACATAAGAGACCTCTAGATGAGATACATTATTTTAAAAAATTTACATAGGCTTGGGAGAAAGAGTAAAAAGAGTATAGAGAGTTATAAAAAATTTTTTTAAAAATAAAACAAAGTCTTAAATGAGACAGTAAAAGTAATATAAGAGAACAGACAGTCGTAGATTAAAGGAGTAAAGGTAATAAATATTAAAAAGTAATTGAGAGAAAAAAAAAGCCACTCAAAGATGGAAAATACACAGAGTCTGGATTATGTATACTGTGTGTTTTCTTTAAATTTTTTGACTGTTAATGAACGAACAGCAGAGAGTCATTTTGTTGTGGGGGTTGTTGCTAAACTAAACCACCATGTATATTTTAAAGGTGTTTTGACTTCAAAATTTGAGTCTGAAGACGTATTACTTTGGAAAAGCATCTGCTTTTGTTTCCACAGGAGACGAGAACCTGTGGGTGCCTTTCAGGCTAATGTGGTTTGATGGAACAAGACCCCCTGAAAGATCTTCTTAAACCCCTAAAAATACTTCTCCCCACAAACAGCAAGAAGCAGTTTAGAGAAAACAATGCCCAAGTTCCCAAAATGATTGTTTGTAAATTTTGTTTTCATTTAATGGGGGATATCATATAGAAATGAATATTTACACTGGTATGGATCTTGGTCTATTGATATAGATTTAAGGACAATCTTGTTATTTGTATTTTTCTACTCTTGTTTAAGGTATTATGTTTATATATTCATTAAAAATGAATAATTAAAAACTACATATTAATAGCTATTTATAATAGTCAAATTTGTAATCATATAAGTTAGATTTTCTAGACATATAAATATGTATTTCAGTTAGACACTCTTCAACACTTCAAAGCCCTACAGAATATGGCATTTAAACTGTTTTAAGAACTTAGACTTTTCTTGACAATGGGACATATCTGCTTCTGGCAGCACCAATTACTTCAAAAGGTTAATGGGCATCAAAGACATTTTGTATGGAATTTGCCTTCAATTGAGAAGGCTAGCCATTTGTGCAAGAAACTGCTCTTGCCTGGACTGCTTGATGGAATGCTTTAAGAACTGGACATGCAGGACCCACAGAAAAGTGACTGCTAAACTTTCTAAAAGACAGGATGGTCCTTCAGGATTCCTGCTTCACACAGGAAACTGCCAGACATTCTGCAGGACAGAGAAGAAAGTGACTGACAAACTGCCAATATAGGAAATACAGCCTTTCACATTTCCTGCTTCATGGAAAAGTCTGCCAGATACTATGGGCATGTAGGCTAAAGATGGATGCCCCAACTTTACAGAAGAAGTTTGGGTGACTGTCTAGGCAGTGAGATGTCTCTGTCATTTCTAGAGTTTTGGAAGTTGCTTATAATGCACTTCCTGTACTTAGGTAATATATATCCTTTTTGGATCCTTGATGGAGTTGAAGACAGATAGTTATTGTTTTCCTTAGTGATGATAAAAGACAAATTAGATATGAAACTTCAGACTCACAAAGAAATATTGTAACTATAATTATTGCTTGATACCTGTTTTGTTATATGTAATTTTACTGTGTTAAAGCTAAAAACATTCCTTTTTATTTAGACAGGAAAGGGGAGATGATGTGGGATTCCCCTATGTATGCTTTATATATGTTTTATTTCTATTGGTTAATGAAGAAGCCACTTTGGCACATGAAAGGGCAGAATAAAGCCAGGTGAGAAATCCGAACAGTGATATGTAGAGTAGGTAGAATCAGAGAGATGCCATGTAGCTGTTGAAGGAGAAAGATGCTAGGAATCTGGAACCTTACCAGTAGGCCATAGTCTGTGGTGATACATAGATTAATAGAAATGGGTTAATTTCAGATGTATGAGTTAGTTAATAAGAAGCCTGAGCTAATAGGCCAAACAGTGTTGTATGTAATATAGTTTATGTGTAGTTATTCGGGTCTGGGCAGCCAGGGAATGAATGAGCAGTCTCCATTTACATCATGAATCAGAAATGTAGTTTGGGTGAGCTGAAGCTGTAGACATGTGTCTTTATTCTGGTTAACTTTTTATTTTTCCCTCTTTTTTTTGTTATTTTTTTTTAGAGTAAGTGAAGAAAAGGAAGTGACAGAGGAACGACTGAAAACCGAGCAGGAATCCTTTGAGAAGAAGATCCGGCAGTTGGAAGAACAAAATGAACTGATCATCAAAGAAAGGGAAGATATCCTTTTGAAAGTTTTTTTCATTTTTTATGTACAGTAAGTTTGACTCTTGTATGAAGAAATTGTATACTCCAGAGAAATAATTGTTCTAATTTATAACAGGGAATAAATCTGCATGTGCTGCCATTTCTGGGCAATCAGAAAGACACTTAGCAGCATGTGCTGTTGTTTCCTTTGTGCTTGATAAGGCCATCCAGCTGTTCTGCTGCTGTTATTGCTCGTGCAGAACACATTTATCAACTAAAACAGACAATAAGAAATTTGGGCTTTATCACAAAATGTTGCTTCTTCATTAAATCCCCCCACTACTATAATAGAGGCTTAACTTCCTCATATTTAGAATTCTTCCTAGGTAAAGTTTAAACAGTTGAAAGGAATCCTGTTCTGTTATAAACATGAAATGAAAAAAAAAAATCTAGAAGCCAGAGCAACAGTTTATAGTGTATATAGCTGTTGTAGTTGATAAATGCTTACACTATAATAAAACCAATAAGCAATGTCATGAAGCAGAAAACTTTGCAATTTAAATTTAGTAGTATTGAGAATGCATGTGTGTGTATATGTACCCATGTACGTAGTGCATGGTTTGTACAAAAATAAACACAGTATTTAAGACTGACTTTTTGTTTAAATTATGTTGTATGTGTGTGGGGCTTTGTGTTTGTGAGCGCATGTGCCCATGGAGGTCAGAGAAAGGATTCCCTGGAGCTGCAGTAACAATTGATTATTAGCCACCCTGCATTGATGCTAAGTACCTTTGGAAGAGCAGTAAGCATTCTTAACCTCTGAATCATATCTCTAGCCCCAGTAACAACATATTTAAATTAAAAAGTTATACTTAGAGAGATATGTGAATTAAAATAACCATACTTATGAACTTTCTCTTGGTTGGGTAGAATTGTATAATGTCATAGATCAAAGAGAGAAGCAGTTGTCCTTAAACAAAGAATGATGGATCTTTCAGCTAAAGCAGTGTGAATGCTTGAAAGAGTCCTTGTCCTTACTGGCAGAGTCATTACTAACTTGATGGTTATTTTTTTAAAAGATTCTGCAAGTGACAAACAATCTCTTATATTGATAATAATAATGCATTTAAAATATTAGAGAAATTTAATCATAAAGATAAATTAACTAGCTTGAAAAATCACAAAACTGTTAATATAAAATGAGTTCTGAACTTGTTTTCACACAATAGAATCATATGATAGAAAATTAATACAGTTAGAATTTTTACTTTTTTATATGTAGAGTAGATCATTAATAAGGTTTAATGACACCATGATAGTAAGTTTTTTTTTCCATTCTCTTTCTCTATGTGTCTCACTCTGACTTCTCTCTCTGACATCTCTCTGTCTCTCTTTCTCTGACTCTGTCTGTTTATCTGTCTGACTCTCCATCCCTCCATGGGTCCATCATCTTGGGCCTCTTCTGGCTTTTTTTGACTTCATTGTTCCAAGAATGTCAGCTCTCAGGACAGAGACCATGTTCTGCTGTTTTTTTTCTCCTTGTTAGAGAAATGCTGTTTACTGAAAATTCAGAACACAATTTGGATAGCACTTTCACAAAATAGGAGTTTAGAAATCCAATGACATTTCCATTTAAAGGTCTGTTTTCACGTAAGAACTGGAGAGAGATGACCTCTGGTATTGATTTGCGGGTTTAAAGTTATCAGTGTTGGCAGCTCTACAGTTCTAGCTTCTAATGTCTGTTCAAGTTCAAAGGACCACATTTAAATTAGGGCAGGAAGAAAGGGCAACTGTAAGTCCTCTCCATGTAAAAAGAAAATAAAGGAATTTTATCGGGGAGTCCTCCCATCCCTCACGTGATAGTTCTGTATGATATTACTGATATCATGTGGGTTTGCTCTGACATGAAAGAGGCTGAGAAGGTTAAGCACAGACAGTTGTCTGATTTGGATAGTGTTGCAAGTAGTGAGTGAGAAGGAGCCTGAAGTTGCCTTCTACTCTGCTAGCAAAAGTAGAGGATATAGAACTTACTTTTTCTGTGGAAACAAAGAAATATTTTGACTTTCTTGGGACAAGATGTATTGCATCCAGTGGCATCAGAATTAAGTTGAGGAAAGAAGGTAAGAGAGATTGGTATTAGAATATTTGAAAGGCTGGACAGCCAGAGTAAGTCCTTGTTTGTTGTGTTAATACTTAAGATACTTATATAGCTTTCTAAGAAGGTATCATGTCATTTTAGTGGGCAGTGACATTAGTACTCTGTGAAGAATGGTGTTTTCAGTGCTTAAGCTGTATAAACTTATCAAGGCCATGAATGGTTTCTTCTGGAAAGCGGGGTGTTAAGACAGCGCAAGTGGAGTGGAGTGGCACAATATTTAGTGTTTCCTCCAGGACTTAGCTCAAGACTCAACACAAACACATTACTTCTGTAGCCTGAATCCAGAGTGATAGCAACTACATTTAGCTGTGTCCCTTATGTCTGTGGCTACTTCTGTGCTCTAACTTCCACAGGTAGTTGCGTTCAAGACTCCAGGGTTCGCATAGCCTAAAATACTCATTGTTTAACTCTCTTCAGAGAAAGGGAAAGATATACATGAGCTCATAGACTTAGCACTGTTTCATATACAGTAAGCAGGGAGTTGGTGTCAGCACTTATTTTGAATTGTGAATGAGGACTGAAGTAAATGTGGGGGTATTAGCAACAATTAAAATAGATTAGTTGATGTAATCCCTCTTGAGGCATTTTAAATCACAAATGGTAGGTCATGTTTATAGAAGTTTATTGTCAAAAGGGGAGAAAGAAATGATACTAACAATGATACTCAGGATTTTTGTTACAAGTATATTGCCCAGGTACAAATCTCCTTAATAGAATAAACCTGTCAGAGGTTAATACAGATGATTTTACAGTACATAAAACTCCATAAAACTCTGAAACATAAAATGAGCTTGTAATTTAAAACAATATAATTTTAACTACACATACATTTACCTATCACACATGAATGATTCAGACTCTTTCATCTACATGAAGTCAGATAATCTCAGTTCATTTTAAAGTTCATTTCTGTGTGAGGCACCATGGCAATATACCAACGAATTGTAGTTTGGGGCATTTTTAAGACATGGTATACCAAATTAGTTTTTCTTTTAAGGGATAATAATGGATTAACAATACAGACTAATTCATTAGTGGAAAAGAAAGTTATTTTGCATGTTTGCATAAGGATATGACATGTGATAACATATATATATATTAAAACCTAAACGTTCTTATAATTTTTAGTCTTTAAACAAGGAATACTATGCTTTAAGACCTTAGAAGTATAAAGAAATATGGCATTTCCACTGCCACATGAGTCTCTTGAGCCTTGTGGAACATTCCCTACCTGAGTGTGTGTGAAACAAGAGAGAATCTTTAAGAGACACCTAAAGAGAAATTTGACCAACAACTCTAATTCTGAAACATGCAGGCATGTGAATATTTTAAGTTGTAATGGGTGTATTCATTAGTAAAGTTAATTAATATTTGAACTTGTATTTCTTGAGAATGACTCAGATTGATGGTGTTAGTAAAAGCTTGTAGAAGGAGAGTGAGGCCTGGTGTCTGGTAGCATTACTATGTTCTGAACCGTGATGGCAAATGTCTGAAGCACAGTGCATGTTAGAGTAAAAACATTTCTTGTTTTCATTGACTACATAAGAAGGCTACTAAATGACTTTGTGTCACCATTCTCCCGACCCGTGTGTGTGTGTTGCACACATGCATGTGGTGCATTTGTCCATGCAGATATGCTCATATATTTGAAGGCACCACAGGTGGACGTCAGGTATTTTCCTTAGTCACTGTCCACCTCATTTCTGAAACAGTCTCTTATTGAATCTGGAGCTAGATTGGGCTGGATGAACTGGCCAGTGATCTCAGGAATCTGCCTTTCTCCACCTACCCACCACTGGGATTGTAGTACATGCTATTGACAAGCATGTTAGAGATCTGAACTCAGGTTGTGATGCCTGCTCACTAAATACGTTCCCCACTAGTGCTGGGGAACAGCACCTGACTCCCACTGATCATAGGATTGGAGACTGAATTCAGTACTTCAGCAAATGTTGTACTACTGAGCAATATCTCCACTCTGAAAAGTGATTCCGGCCGGGCGGTGGTGGCACACGCCTTTAATCCCAGCACTCGGGAGGCAGAGGCAGGTGGATCTCTGTGAGTTCGAGACCAGCCTGGTCTACAAGAGCTAGTTCCAGGACAGGCTCCAAAACCCTGTCTCGAAAAACCAAAAAAAAAAAAAAAAAAAGTGATTCCTTTTGCATCTAATACTCCCTTTTATCTATAATGCCTGCTTGGCAGGCTTATTAGCATTTGAATTTTTTTTTTTATCACACCTGTAAAGAATCTTACCAAGTTCTGTAGTAGGCACTGACTAAAAAATGGCACTTCTCTTGTGAGCATGAGCAGGGGATGATTGTTCCTTTTGGTTTTTATTCCTGTGCCTCCTTTTCACTGGTATTTGGAAGGTTTCTAGTATATTATATAAGTTCTTGGCTGGCTTCTAAGCTCTGTGAAAGAAAACTTAGCTTGTATCTGTTTGTTACTCACTGAAGGAAACCAAGAATTTTTTGTTGTTAGTGTTTTTGTTTTGGCAGAGTTCGTTTGTCTATTTGGGCTTCTTTTTGCATTGCTTCGTTGGAAACCAAGCGCTTCCCCCTCTGTTTTAAAAATTCATTCTCTTAAAATTTCATACATGTATATAATTTATTTTACTCATATATGTTCCCTCCTTCCCTTCCATTTCCCCCATTCTCCCAGGATACATCTTCCAACTTGATGCTGTGTGTGTATGTGTATCTGTGTGTGTGTGTGTGTGTGTGTGTGTGTGTGAGAGAGAGAGAGAGAGAGAGAGAGAGAGAGAGAGAGAGAGAGAGAGAGAGAGAGAGAGATTGAATCTGTTTAGTGCTGCTTTGTACACATGGGTGTGTGGTTATCCACAGAAACATAGACAACCTCTGAAGAAAACTGCCTC